CCTCCCTCTCACCCCCTCTTCTCCCTCTGCCACCCCCCCCCCCCCCGTGCCCCCCTCCCCCACTGCCGCCACGTCCACCAACTCCCTACTGCCCTCCCCCCCTACTCCCCCCCTCCTCCCAGCCACCAAATGTGTGCCAGATGCACTCGCGCACAGACAAAGCTCCCCCGTGTAGCTTTCGGCAAGGCTGTTTTTGTGTGGGGGGGGGGGGGCGTTGACGAGGCCCCAGGATCGGTCCAAATCATCGTCTGCCGGTGTTGGTGGCCGAGAGCGGGAATCCGTGGCGCGGCGCTCACCGCTGCACCACCGCTCCCCACGAAGACAAACCCCCCCCCGCCCTCCCCCAAAGATCCCCCATGTAGCCTGTAACCGACTGTAGGGGCAAGTGCTGTTAGCGAGCAGCACCTGTGAAGGCCCGCACGGCACACGAGGGGGTTGGTGGCCAGCACCACGCCCGGCCGCCTTTGTCTCCCCAGTAGGCGATGTTTGCTACGCACCACACCAGGTACTCATTTGAGGCTGAGCCGACCTAGAGGGGGCCCGGGGACCGGCTCAGATAATCGTCACTGGTGTTGTTGGCCGTGAGCGGGAATTGAACCCAGGTCGCCGGGTTCGTAGCGCTAACCACTACACGACCGCTCCCCACACACGCACACGCACGCGGCTTCAACGGCGCAACACCTCGTGCCTGTGTGCGAGAGTGAGCGTGTATGTGTGTGTGAGCATGTGTGCGTGTGTGTGAGCGTGTGAGCATGTGCGTGCGTGTGAGCATGTGTGAGCGTGCGTGTGTGAGCGTGTGAGCATATGTGCACGTGTGTGTGAGCATTTGTGTGTGCATGTGAGCATGTGTGCGCGTGCGTGCGAGCGTGTGTGTGTGTGAGCGTGTGAGCATATGTGTGCGTGTGAGCATGTGTGCACGTGTGTGAGCGTGTGAGCATGTGTGCACGTGTGTGTGCGTGTGAGCATGTGTGCACGTGTGTGTGTGCGTGTGAGCATGTGTGCGTGTGTGTGTGCGTGTGAGTGTGTGTGTGCGTGTGTGAGCGTGTGTGCGTGTGTGTGAGCGCGTGTGAGCGCGTGTGTGTGTGTGTGCGCGTGTGAGCCCGTGCGTGTGTGTGAGCGCGTGTGAGCGCGTGTGCGTGTGTGTGTGTGCGTGTGAGTGTGAGCGCGTGTGTGTGTGTGTGTGAGCGCGTGTGTGTGTGTGCGCTGTACGCGAGTTCGATTCCCGCTCACCGTCAACGCCGGCGACGATTATCCGACGCGATCATGCGCCTCCCCTAGATCGACTCGGCCTCAAATGAGCAGCTGGTGCGGTGCGTGTGCCGTGCCGGCCTTCGTAGGTGCTGCCGCTGCTACTACTGGCCAAGAGCACTTGCCCCGACAATCTGTTTAAGGCTACACGGGGGATCTTTGTCTTTGGTGCTAGCGGTGTGGTGATGGTGAAGGGATACCACCCCCCCGAGTGTATTTACGCATGCACTGGACGTGTATACATTGGAACTTTTTTCGCACCGCACGCAGCCACCCGCAGCCAATCGTGTTCATCGGAGGTGCGAGTGACCGGTGCGGTGGCGGATCTTCGTCTTCGTACGTGACCACGCCAGCCGCTACCCCCCTCGTCACACCCCTCGTCACACCCCTCGTCACCCCCCTCGTCACCCCCCTCGTCACACCCCTCGTCACACCCCTCGTCACACCCCTCGTCACACCCATCTCCACCGATCGTCGCTGTTGCCGGGGGTTGGGGGGGGGGGTGTGAGAGAGATCACGATTGCACATCTGTGCACTTCAATGCCGTTGTTGTTGTTGTTGTGTTAAAGTGGTGCCACCGAGGCACCTCAGAGGTGCCAGAACCCTTCACGTGCAGGCGGGCGACCGAGTGAGCGGGTGGGCGGGCGGGCGAGCGGGTGAGCGGGTGAGCGGGCGGGCGAGTGAGCGGGCGAGCGGGTGAGCGGGCAAGCGGGTGGGCGGGCGGGCGGGCGAGTGAGCGAGCGGGTGAGCAGGCGGGTAGGCGGGTGAGCGGGCGAGCGTCTGCGCCGGTTAGACGCCCGCTCCACTGCTCTCCGCCGTGGAGCTGGTCGACGTTGCTCTGCCCAATGCCAACGGAGCCATTTTGCACGTGTCCGTTTTTCACCGCTTGTGACGTTCGTCGACGTTCGTTTGTGCTAAATCACTTTTCTGACATTGCCCCTGACCGGACATCTGTTTAAAAAGACTTTCGTGGTGATGATGGCGGTGGTGGCAGTGATGATAATGATGGTGATGGTGGTGATCATGATGATGATGGTGGTGGCGGTGGTGGTGATGATGGCGATGGCGGTGGTGATTATGATGATGGTGGTGATGATGATGATGGCGATGATGTTGATCCACATGGATGACCCCACGTTGAGGCTGCTCTGCCAGCCTGGCTGTGCCCAGGCTAAGTTTAGAAGCGGCCCCCCCGTGCCTCTCACTTCCCCGACACCACATTCGCTGTCATCGTCACTCTCCACTTAATTAATTTCCACAACGTCTGGACCTTGGGGGGGGGGTGGTGGTGGGGGGGGCGGGTGGTGGGGGGGGGGAGTTGGGGCAGGCCGGGGGGGTCCCTGTGATTTGTGTGCGCGTGCGGTGGTGGTGGTGGTTAGCGGGGGGTGCATCTACCGATCATCTCAGTCGGCCAACCCACGGCACCTGCTGGGTCTGTCCCGAGACCTCGCCCTGTCAGTCAGCGAGCCCCTGACCACTCCACGTGGTAGCCTCTAAGTGCACGTGCGCCTGGCACGGGCGCCGTGGTGACGCCACCGTGCCACTTAATGGCGAATGGCAGGCATTGGATTGGTGCACGCACGCAGGCACGCAGGCACGCACGTTCCCTCGAGCCGCTGTTCCAACTTCCGTGACCAGGTGCGTGGTACAAGAATGCTGCGGGTCCTGTGTCACCACGTTGTGGCGTCGAGAAGGACGGATCCCGTCCCGCTGTTGCTGCTGCTGCAAGCTGTATTGGACGCACCTGGGTAGCGTGGATGTTGACTAGCTCGCCTGGCATACGGGAGGTCTGGGGGTTTGGTCCCGACCGTGACACCTGTGTATTTGGAGTCTGCGCGCGTGTCTCTCCTTCTCTCGATTCTCCCTCTCCCCGTGGTCGCGTGTTTTTTTTTCCCTCTCTTTCTCCGGGTGCTCTCGCTGTTCTACTCGGCGCTTAGAAGCAGCGTCGCGCGTTCGGCAGCCGTGGCCTTGGACGCGCGGCAGCCAGCTCGCTGCGAAAAAAAGAAGGTGCTGCCGATTTGGCACGATCGGCTACGTACGGCGAGAAAGAAGTTTGGTGGGTGACGATGGCGGTGCGGCCGGCGCTGGCGAAGGTGCTTAATCGACCCAGGCGATTAAGCACCAGGGGCCGGCCTGCCCGCCCTCGCCGGCCCGCCTCGCCGGCCCCCCTCGCCGGCCCCCTAATTCCGCTTGCGCCCGGACCGCCGCATTCACTCGTAAGGTGATCTTGGCCACCAGCTGTTTTTTTTTTAGTGCGGTTGTTGTTGCCGCAGTCGTAGTTTCTGCGAGTATCGGATCCAGGAGACCACGTGACCCGCTGGCCCCGTGTCATGTGACGCACCTCAAAACTCAACTGGGCCAAAGGTCACGGAAGTGGAAAAAAAAGAGGCAACATTAAACGCGCCCAGCTGCCCCCCACCCACTCACCCACCCAATTACCCTTTCACCCACCCACCCACTCGTCCACCAACCCCCCCCCCGCCCCACGCATACGCTCACCCACGCAGCCAACCACCCACGCACTCACCCACCCACCCACGCAGTCACCCACCGACTCATGCACTCACTCACCCACCCACCCACGCACTCACCCACCCATGCACTCACCCACGCACTCACCCACACACCCAACCACCCATTCACTTGATTTTTTTCACCCCATAGCTTCACTCCTCTTCTCCACCGCCTGCCCCCCCGACCCACTGCCCCCCCCCATATATTTTACATCCTCCCTGCATACCCCCCCCGCCTACCCTCCTTTCTCCACCATTTTTCCTTTCTTCCATCGTCATAAAGGGCAGAGTGCTGCTGCCTGCTGCTGCTGCTGCGAGATGAGTGGCGGATTTCAACTGAAATGAGCAATGGGGCAGGGAGGGAGGGAGCGTGGCTCATCAGCTGTTTGCAGCAGCCGTGGAAATTCCACACCCTTTCGATATCCCACCACCACCACCACCGCCACGAAGTTGGTACTCGTTTTAGCGACCCGCCCCCACCCCCCGGAGAGATGATGGGCTGAGTCAATGAGTCAATCACCCACCCACCCCTCCCGCCGCACCGAGTTTCCACGCAGCGACGCACTTCTCTGGTTCTCAATCGTAATTTTTGTTTTATGTTTATAATGTTAATAAATACGTCGGGTTTGATGATACAAAGCAAGTTGTTACTCACGGTGCCCCTGCTCGAGTTGCGCTTTCGATGATTTACCTTCAAAAAGAACAATCTGCCCGTGTCTCGCACACCCCCAGAAAGGTGCATCTCGCCGCCCCCCCCCACCCAGCAGTTGTTTGACCATACTTCACCATGCTGGTCATTGCGGGTTGGTGCCATCGTTGGATAGGCAGGGCTGGTTGAGATGTCACACGTGTCCGGGAATCGAACTCGTGTCTCCAGGCTGAGTGCATTTACGTGATTATTTTGCTGCTATAAATTTCCCATGTGATGAGCAGGCACTTTTGTTGACCTTTCATCTGTGATAGCCAGGTCGCTTCTGAAAAATAAGCGAATAGCTCAGTGGGCTTTACTTGGTAAGATAACAAAAAATAGTTTAGTTTTATTTGCATAAATTTTTAGCGATTTGTTTACCTTTCTTTCACTTTGCACTCCTATCGTGTTTTGAACCGTTTGTTCCTCCAGTATATAAAGTCATATTCTGATTCCCCATAAACTGCTGTGTCCCTGTTTCCCCCGTAGTGATGTTGATCATTGACGATGATCGATGACGATGACGTGTGTGTGTGTGTCTCCGAATGCAGTCACATCGACCAGACGACAACGTGGCAAGATCCCCGGAAATCTTTGGGCCCTCAAATGATTCTTCCTTCTCCAGCCAGCCCAGCGACGCAGCAGCAGCAGCAGCGTGGCATGGGAGTGCAGCAGCAGCAGCCGCAACAGCGTGGCATGGGAGTGCAGCAGCAGCAGCAGAATCTGGGTAAGCCAGAGCTCTGTACCTTGCTCGGCTCGGGCTGCTACAGCATCACCTTGTTAGTCACAAACTCGCTGTCCGCGATTTTGAATTACACAACACAGCATTCCCTGGTTAGTCACAAACTCGCTGTCCGCGATTTTGAATTACACAACACAGCATTCACTGGTTAGTCACAAACTCGCTGTCCGCGATTTTGAATTATGGTACACAATACAGCGTTCCCTGGTTATACACAATTTCACTATCCGCGATTTTGAATTGCATAATACAGCGTTCTCTGGTTATACGGAAATTCACTATCCGTGATTTTTAATTACACAATACAGCATTCCCTGGTTATTCACAAACTCGCTATCCGTGATTTTGAATTGCACAATACAGCGTTCCCTGGTTATTCACGAACTCGCTATCCGTGACTTTGAATTACTCAACACAGCATTCCCTGGTTTTTCACAAACTCGCTATCCGAGATTTTGAATTACACAGCATTCCCTGGTTATTCACGAACTCGCTATCCGAGATTTTGAATTGCACAATACAGCGTTCCCTGGTTATTCACGAACTCGCTATCCATGGTTGTGAATTACACAACACAGCATTCCCTGGTTATTCACGAACTCGCTATCCGTGATTTTGAATTACACAACACAGCATTCCCTGGTTTTTCACAAACTCGCTCTCCGTGATTTTGAATTACACAACACAGCATTCCCTGGTTATTCACCAACTCGCTATCCGCAATTTTGAATTACGGTACACAATACAGCGTTCCCTGGTTATTCACGAACTCGCTATGAATTACACAACACAGCATTCCCTGATTATTCACAAACTCGCTCTCCGTGATTTTGAATTACACAACACAGCATTCCCTGGTTATTCACGAACTCGCTATCCGTGATTTTGAATAACACAACACAGCATTCCCTGGTTTTTCACAAACTCGCTCTCCGTGATTTTGAATTACACAACACAGCATTCCCTGGTTATTCACGAATTCGCTCTCCGTGATTGTGAATTACACAACACAGCATTCCCTGGTTATTCACGAACTCGCTATCCGTGATTTTGAATTACACAACACAGCATTCCCTGGTTTTTCACAAACTCGCTATCCGTGATTTTGAATTACACAACACAGCATTCCCTGGTTATTCACGAGCTCGCTATCCGCAATTTTGAATTACACAACACAGCGTTCCCTGGTTATTCACAAACTCGCTATGGATTACACAACACAGCATTCCCTGATTATTCACAAACTCGCTCTCCGTGATTTTGAATTACACAACACAGCATTCCCTGGTTATTCACAAACTCGCTATCCGCGATTTTGAATTACACAACACAGCATTCCCTGGTTATTCACAAACTCGCTCTCCGTGATTTTGAATTACACAACACAGCATTCCCTGGTTATTCACAAACTCGCTATCCATGATTTTGAATTACACAACACAGCATTCCCTGGTTATTCACAAACTCGCTATCCGTGATTTTGAATTACACAACACAGCGTTCCCTGGTTATTCACAAACTCGCTATCTGCAATTTTGAAATTATGCTGATTACGACATCAAATAAAAAACGGAACGTTTATTATTATTTTTTTAAACATTAGCTTCATCATTATTTTACACGTAAATTTTCATCGAGGAAATTTTCCGGGCCCGATACATCACGCTGCACAGACACACGCCGTCAACATGAAGCCAAACCGGTTATGTAAAGCGGGGGGGGGGGGGGGGGGGGAGTGCATATAGAAAGCGACGGAATGGGCTCCCTGCCCCCAACACCATACGGCAGGGGGTGTGGGGGTCCGTCTCGCCCACCCGAAGGGGAAAAGGAGGGAAACTTTTGTTTAAGTACGGGGGGGGGGGGGGGGGAAGGGTTGGTGGGAGGGGAGGGGAGAGAGGGGGTACAACAAAAACACGCGCCTGAACTAAAGAAAATAAAGGGAGCAGCAGAAGAGGCGGCCTAAACGTCCAATGTTTGTTTCCGTGTACCGCTCCGGATCCGGCTTCCCGTCTTTTTCTGCGGCGGTTTGCGCCCCTTGTCCCTCGGTCGCTGTCTCCCGACCCTCCAACCTGCTTGGCTTATTTTTGAGGCGTTGAATGAGGAGGGGCGGGGGCGGGGGGTAGTGGAACAACGAACAAAGAAATGTATTTTGTATTCTTGGTTCTTTCGGTAAAGTCACCACGTAGAAGGGAAACAATAAAATAATGAAAATGTCAAACAATAAAATTCTCACGACGTTTCGACTGGCAACACAAGCAGCAATCATCATCAGGTGTGAAAACCACGGCAAGAATTTTTTTTTTAAAGTGGCGGTTTTTTTCAAATTTTCTTGCTGTGGTTTTCACACCTGATGATGACTGCTTGTGTTGCCAGTCGAAACGTCGTGAGAATTTTATTGTTTTACATTTTCATTATTTTATTGTTTCCCTTCTACGTGGTGCCTTTACTGAAAGAACCAAGAATATGAATCCCTGCAGTCACGAAAGCTTTAAATCAAAATATATATTGGTTATTTTGCCAGGTAAGGGCCCCGCCGAGCTATGCGTAGCTATTTTTCAGACGCGCCCCCGGCCGTCACCAATGATAGGTCGACGAAGTGGCGGCTCATTGTCGTCGTCATCGTCGTCATGTGGAAATGGATAGCTGCGGCCAGGTACACTAAACACGTGATGTCGTGTCTAAATGTTGAGGGGAACAATCGGAGGACCTGGATAAAAATCCACGTGACCACGGGAGGAGAGAGACGCGAGACTCCAAATATACAGCAGGTATTGGGGTCGGGATCGAAACCACGATCTCCTGTATACCAGGCGAGGTAGTTAACATCTCCTAGCCACCGTGATGATGATGAGAGAGAGAGAGAGACACGCAAACTCCAATTATACAGCAGGTATCGGGGTCGGGATCGAACCCACGATCTCATGTACACCAGACGAGGTAGTTAACATCTCCTAGCCACCGTGATGATGATGATGAGAGAGAGACACGCAGACTCCAATTATACAGCAGGCAGACGTCAGGGTCGGGATTGAACCCACGACCTCCTGTGTGCCAGGCGAGGTAGTTAACATCTCCTAGCCACCATGACAACGTTGTATCCATCAGCGACAACAAGCCTAAGAGGCCACATCGGAGGGCTTGCCTGTAGATTTTTGTCGCATCTGAAAGAATATTATTGTTTGAGAGAACTTTGTATCCCTATCTCCCTAATTTTTCGTGCTTGATTCGTAGTTTTTTTGGGGGGGGCTGTACTGGTTTTTATATTCACTAAGCATTTCTTTACATTTTGTATGTTGTTTATGTTCAATTTATTGACTTGTATTTTATCAAAAAAATGTATTTACTTAACGGTACACATTTTCGTTTGTTGCATACTTTACTTCGGACCGATGTAAACATTTTATTCGTCGCATTTTTAGTTGTTGCTTTGCTATCTGCGTTATTTTTCGTGAAAATCTAGAGGGCCCCCCCCCCACCCACCCCCTCCTCCACCGCCACCCCTTCACGGTGTGAGCTAAGGGCCAGGGAGCGCCGGGGTCACTGTGTTCGTCGTCGGTCGGCGACGACTGCAACGCAGCGGCGGCGGCGGCAGCGGCGTCGCGTGCGTTGTCTCGGGCGTTGTCTCGGGCGTTGTCTCGGGCGTTGTCTCGGGCGTTCCTCGGGCGCGATGCCTGGAGTAGCCGCTCCGTGGTTCGTGGTTCCGCTGGTGGTCGGGAGATAAGAAGACGGAAAGAAATTCACCCCGGGATGATTTTGCCGTGGTTGTTTTTAGCAATTTATTTTGAATTTGGACCGCCGGCGCTTGCTCGGTGGGGCGGGGCACCACCCCTGCGAACGACGTCGCGGGGATCTTTTGTGACGTAGCACGTGGGCGTGTCGTGTGTGACGTCACAGGTGTGCGCGCGCGCGACGTCGTGCCTGTGTACCGCGTGCGACATCAGCAGGCGTCACAGACTCGCTCTCTCCTCACAGACACAGACTCGCTCCTCACAGACACGGACTCACTCACTCCTCACAGACACAGACTCGCTCTCTCCTCACAGACGCAGACTCACTCCTCACAGACACGGACTCGCTCTCTCCTCACAGACGCAGACTCACTCCTCACAGACACGGACTCACTCACTCCTCACAGACACAGACTCGCTCACTCCTCACAGACACAGACTCACTCACTCCTCACAGACACAGACTCGCTCACTCCTCACTCTCTCCTCACACTCACAGACACAGACTCACTCACTCCTCACAGACACAGACTCACGCTCTCCTCACACTCACAGACACAGGCTCACTCTCTCCTCACTCTCTCCTCACACTCACAGACACAGACTCACTCACTCCTCACACTAACACTCACAGACTCACTCTCTCCTCACTCTCTCCTCACACTCACAGACACAGACTCACTCTCTCATCACAGACACAGACTCACTCTCTCCTCACGCTCACAATCACAGACTCACTCTCTCCTCACACTCACGGACACAGACTCACTCTCTCCTCACGCTCACAATCACAGACTCACTCTCTCCTCACTCTCTCCTCACACTCACAGACTCACTCTCTCCTCACACTCACAGGCACAGACTCACTCACTCCTCACTCTCACAGACACAGACTCACACTCTCCTCACTCTCCCAGACACGGACTCACTCACTTCTCACACTCACAGACACAGACTCACTCTCTCCTCACACTCACAGACACAGACTAACTCTCTCATCACACTCACAGACACAGACTCACTCACTCCTCACACTCACAGACACGGACTCACTCACTCCTCACTCTCACAGACACAGACTCACTCTCTCATCACACTCACAGACGCAGACTCACTCACTCCTCACACTCACAGACACAGACTCACACTCTCCTCACACTCACGGACACAGACTCACTCTCTCATCACACTCACAGACTCACTCACTCCTCACACTCACAGACACAGACTCACTCTCTCCTCACTCTCACAGACACAGACTCACTCTCTCATCACACTCACAGACTCACTCTCTCCTCACTCTCACAGACACAGACTCACTCTCTCCTCACACTCACACTCACAGACTCACTCTCTCCTCACACTCACAGACACAGACTCACTCTCTCCTCACACTCACAGACTCACTCTCTCCTCACGCTCACAATCACAGACTCACTCTCTCCTCACACTCACACTCACAGACTCACTCTCTCCTCACACTCACACTCACAGACTCACTCTCTCCTCACACTCACACTCACAGACTCACTCTCTCCTCACACTCACAGACTCACTCTCTCCTCACACTCACAGACACAGACTCACTCTCTCCTCACACTCACACTCACAGACTCACTCTCTCCTCACGCTCACAATCACAGACTCACTCACTCCTCACACTCACAGACACAGACTCACTCTCTCCTCACACTCACGGACACAGACTCACTCTCTCATCACACTCACAGACACAGACTCACTCTCTCCTCACTCTCACAGACGCAGACTCACTCTCTCCTCACTCTCACAGACACAGACTCACTCACTCCTCACACTCACAGACACAGACTCACTCTCTCCTCACTCTCACAGACGCAGACTCACTCTCTCCTCACCCTCACAGACACAGACTCACTCACTCCTCACACTCACAGACACAGACTCACTCTCTCCTCACCCTCTCCTCACACTCACAGACTCACTCTCTACTCACTCTCACAGACACAGACTCACTCTCTCCTCACACTCACAGACTCACTCTCTCCTCACCCTCTCCTCACACTCACAGACTCATTCTCTCCTCACTCTCCCAGACACGGACTCTCTCCTCACAATCCCAGGTTTTGTACTCACGACGCTTTGGCTGTCAGCATTTTTAAGAGTCGAAGCACCCACCTCCACCACGACCACCACCTCCACCACGACCTCCACCACCACCACCACCACGGCTCGGGCCTCCAGCTAAGGCTTTTGCGAACAATCAACCCAACCGGCCGACCAAAAGCGTTAAATGAAGGGCACAAATTTGGCGCTTATTTGATTAAAGAGTTGTGCGGTCACAGCGGAGCCGAGTGAACGCAAACTAACATATATCCAGCAGCAGCAGCACGCAATCCTATTCATTTTAATTTTTCATCGGCATTCAACCGCGGTTCACCTCGAAACTCCAACGCAGTGGAGATTTAACCGGTTAAAAAAAATAAAATTAAAAAGAAAATAATGAAGAAAATAATAATAATAAAACAAAAACAAATTCTAACACTCGCCGTGTCCTTTGTTTTAATGCAGGTGCCCTTCCGGAAGGCTGGGAGCAAGCCTGTACTCCTGAAGGCGAAATTTATTTCATAAATCACAAAAACAAAACCACGTCATGGCTGGATCCACGACTTGACCCTCGCTACAGTAAGTCCGTGGCGACGCTTTACCATTTGGATACAAAGCGCTCTTTGGCCCCCCCCCCCCCCCCCCCCCGCCCCCCCCCCCCCCCCCCCCCCCCCCCCCCCTCCCCCCCCCCCCCTCCCCCTCCCCGCGATTCGATCGATCGATCCGTCGATCGATCCGTCAGATCCGGGCATCGCTTGCCTCTCGCTCGGGTTACTTTCGTGATGGCGTTTCGCGGTCGGCGGCTGACGGCGCGAGCACGGTTGAACAAAACGGGAAAAGTGTCAGCGGTGTTGTCGACGACACGACTGTGCTTGTGGCCACGCGCTATGACAACTAAAATTTATATATATTTTTTTCTATTACCAGGCAGAGCAACTGAGCTTACGAAATACATAGCTCTTTTTTCAGCAGCAAACCCGGCCATCGCAAATGATAGCCCAACGGAGTGGGCTTCGCAATCATCGTCGTCGCGTGGAAATGTATTGCAGCCAAGTGGTCCCAGACGCGTGACGTTGATTCTAAATGTGGAGGGGGAGAACCCGGAGAAAAATCCACGTGACCACGGGGAGAACACGCAAACTCCAAATATACAGCAGGCGTTCGGGTTGGGATCGAACCCACGACCTCCTGTATACCAGGCGAGGTAGTTAACAGCTCGCCACCGTGGCGATTGCCTGAAACGTCGCCCTATTATATATATTATTTGTAAAAAATATTTATTTCCTTTCAAGGCCACACAGCACTCCGAGTTTTTGATGAATGTGTTGCATTAATGTTCTCTTCCTGTACTTGAAAGCCGCGCTCATCACACACACACTCCTATACTTATTCTTGGTTATTTCGGTAAAGTCATGTAGAAGGGAAACAATGGATAAAATAGAATATAACAACAAAATTCAAGAATTACTCAACGATGGCAGCTATACAAAAATGAAAAGAGATCCCACCAACAGCCTCGTCATACAAACCAACAAAATCATTTCTGATTCAACCACATGAATTGATCAAACCAAACAGTTCTCGTTGAAACCTTCTGCTGCCAGGCCACCAAGATTATACGGCTTACCAAAAATACATAAAGTAGATACACCCCTTCGTCCCATCGTCTCTACTATCAACTCCCCCACCTACAAACTGGCTCGTTTTCTGTCTGACATCCTGCGGCCTTTCACTGGAAAAACCACCTCTGCGGTACAAAACTCTACTCACCTGGTAACGACAATCACGGGTATCTCCCTATTCCCAGACGACCTGCTTGACAGTTTTGATGTAGTTTCCTTATTCACCAAAGTTCCTGTACCTGACACCATCGCAATCATTGAAGACTTGGTTCATCAAGGACTAAACACTGAGGTACCCCCCCTGGTGAGACACTGCTTAACCAATACATACTTCACTTGGAATGGAACTTTCTACAAACAAACTGAGGGCACCCCAATGGGCTCCCCCCTATCTCCGTTTGTAGCCAACATTTTCATGGAGAAATTTGAGACTGACGCCATCCAGACTGCCACTCTGCGCCCAATCTTATGGAAGAGGTACGTGGATGACACTTTTGTCATCTGCCCACATGGCCGGCCTGCTCTAGACCAATTGAAGTAATTGGCGGGACCCTGGGGTCCCATCACTGCCCCGGGGTGGGAAAAACCGCGTAGCGACACGAGTCTTGTTGCCTTACCGACAACAAAACTAGTGTCAATCGATTGGCCTCGTCGAGAGCTACTCGGGGTACTAAGTTTCGTAAAAAGTTGAAAAATTACATAAACACGTTAAATTCACTGCGGGGGCGGGCTCGCCTTGGCAAATAAGCTGGGGATCGACGGCTGACCGGAGGGCATTGTCGCCGCGCGCGACTGCGGCGGATGCCCCCCGGGGCTCGCGTTTGGCCGGTGCAGTGGCGCCCATCGTGTTGATCGCCGCCTGCTGGCGCTTGTTGGCGCGAGTCTGGGCGGGCGGCGCGTTGCTGTCGGGATCACGAGTGGGCGGACTGAAAAATAATAATTATTGACCTGATTTTTGCGGGACCCCGTGATCCCGCCAAATGATTCAATTCTTCGACCACATCAATTCCATACACCCAGCCATCAGATTTACCATGGAAGTCGAAAAAGATGGCAAGCTACCTTTTTTGGATGTCCTAATAAAAAATGAGACCTGATGGTTCAATGAGCCACTCTGTCTACAGGAAAGCTACCCATACGGATGCTTACCTGAAACCGGATTCCCACCACCATCCATCCCAGAAGAATTCCCTCATCAAGACTCTGCACCATAGAGCCCAATGCATATCTGACCAGGAACACATAGCCAGTGAACTCAAGCACGTACACCAAGCTCTTAAAGCTAATGGTTACTCTGACTACACAATCTGCAAAGCTATCACTCCAACCATGAAGTAGGACCCTCTTGAGGAGCCTTTCAAAACCATCACTTTATCCTACATTGCGGGGATCACAAAAAATATCTCCAAAATCTTGAATAAACACAAGATCCAGGTCCGATTCAACACATTACGTAAAATCCGTGATCTGGTTCCGTCTGTAAAAGATGTGATTCCGGACATACAGTACCCTGGCGTCTACAAACTAAGTTGCCTCTGTGGTAGTAGTTACATTGGAGAAACCAAACGACATGTCTCGGACCGCATTCGTGAACACAAAGCAGACCTAAAACACGGTAGGACCAACACCTCGGCCGTGGCAGATCATTGTTATAATTCAGTAGGCTCACATGCCATTGACTTTTCCAAGACAGAGGTTCTTTGTAAGCCATCTGGCTACCATGAGAGATTCGTTCATGAGGCTATCCACATGTACAAACACAGAGACAATTTCAACCGAGAAGATGGATTCTGGCTTAACAATCATTGGAAGGATTTGATAAACCATCTCGGGTCTTAATTGATTGTTCACACTTACGGTGGCTTTCAGACCGCATCCATTATTTTCGTCTCTGCCCTCCTCTTTTCCGAACATAGATTGACTCGTCCACCTGAATAACTGCCAAATCGCTCTCCGTGGTGCTAAGGTTAAAAAAAACCCACCACTTTTTTCAAATTTTCTTGCTGTGATTTTCACACCTGATGATGATTGCTTGTGTTGCAGTCGAAACGTCGTGAGAATTGTATTGTTTTATATTCTTATTTATTGTTTCCCTTCTACGTGACTTTACCGAAAGAACCAAGAATATGAATCCCTGCAGTCACGAAAGCTTTAAATCAAAACGCCTATACTTACGAACGAGTTAGTTTCCAGAGGTCTGTTCATAAGTCGATTTGTTCGTAAGTCCAACTTGACTCCTGTCAATTCCAAACATGTTGTACGGCTTGTACACTAAACACAGGGAATGGCTTTAACAGTTGTATAATCTCCTGGAGATGTAGATGCCACTGGTTCTTCACGTTCTGTAGATGTAGATGCCACTGGTTCTTCACGTTCTGCAGGTGTAGATGCCACTGGTTCTTCACGTCCTGCAGATGTAGATGCCACTGGTTCTTCACGTCCTGCAGATGTAGATGCCACTGGTTCTTCACGTTCTGCAGATGTAGATGCCACTGGTTCTTCATGTCATGCAGATGTAGATGCCACTAGTTCTTCACGTCCTGTAGATGCCACTGGTTCTTCACGTTCCGTAGATGTAGATGCCACTGGTTCTTCACATTCTGCAGATGTAGATGCCACTGGTTTTTCACGTTCTGTAGACGTAGATACAACTGGTTCTTCATGTTCTGTATATGTAGATGCCACTGGTTCTTCATGTTCTCCAGATGTAGATGTCACTGGTTCTTCATGTTCTGTAGATGTAGATGCCACTGGTTCTTCACGTTCTGCAGATGTAGATGCCACTGGTTCTTCACGTTCTGCAGATGTAGATGCCACTGGTTCTTCACATTCTGCAGATGTAGATGCCACTGGTTCTTCACGTTGTGCAGATGTAGATGCCACTGGTTCTTTACGTTCTGCAGATGTAGATACTGTTGGTGCTTCACGTTCTGCAGACGTAGATGCCATTGATTCTTCATGTTCTGCAGACATAGATGCCACCAACGGTGGTTGAACTCATCATTCTCGGTCCAAAAAGGCACCTGGGCATACGGACCAGGTTTGTTCGTATCTTTGAATGTTCGTAAGTAGAGGGGTCCCTGTAGCTCACTGATCTCGTCGACGAGCGTTAAACCATCACCGCGTGAGCTTCGGTCATCCTCTCCTCCGCATCGCACGACGCTTTCGGATGCGCTTCTACGGCCGTCTGGAACGCTCTTCCTTCGGATATTAGGAGGCCGCTGGGAGCTACAGATGCACTTTTAAATCCTCATCTAGATTGACAAACTAATTTATTTAGCAACTGCTTTTTGTGTTTTAGTTTATTGTCGTTCTTCTTTCCCCGGCTTCACCTCCGATGAGTACGGCTGGCTACGTACGGCGCGAAAGAATTCCCAGCATACGTACGTACGTAACATGGCGGCGAGCAAAGCCATGAAATTTCTCGGCACTGCCCTCCAGCTGCCCGTGACGTCTTCTCCCATTCGGGCGCGATGACGTGAGCTTGATTCCACCTCCCCCCCCCCCCCCATCGGTCCAGCCTTACCACTGCTCCCCCACCTCCCAAAGACAAAGATCCCCCATACAGCCTCAAAAGACTGTTGGAGCAAGTGCTGTTAGTGAGTAGCAACTATGAAGGCCGGCAGGGCACACGAGGGGGGGGGGTGGGTGGGTGGCCAGCACCCCCCGCGACCGCCTTTGTCTCCCCCAGTGGCGATGTTTACACACCGCACCAGGTACTAATTTGAGGCTGAGTCGACCTAGGGCGGAGGCCCCAGGACCGGTTCAAATGCTCGTAGCCCGGATTCGAACTCGGGTCGCCGGGTGCGTAGCGCAAGGCGTGCTAACCGCTGCACCACTGCTCCCCTCCAACCCACCCCCCCCCCCACCACCCACCGCTTCACCAACCCGCACTGGCGAGGTGGTGAAGCACGGTCGAACAACGACGACCGCCACAAATGACACGGCACGTGTGGA